AAAAAATCCCAGAAGAGACACAGTTGAATATTTACAGCCCCCAACAGGACAGGACAAATCATTATTTAAAGTACTTCTGGGATTCAAATATGTGACAGACTGTAATAAGTAACCTCTAAACTAAACTCCTAAATTTTAACAAAAAAGATGATTTCAGAGACAGTGTGCAAACAAAAAGTGCTTATAAACTAAATTATTATTCCAAAGAAAATTATTAAAGCAGATGTCGACAGAGCCATAGTTGTCAGGAGAAAAAACAGATCAGAGTGTGGTTGTTACAGACAGAGCTCTGATGTAAATATAAACGCTTGGATATTTGGCTCAATTATCACAAAACAGACTAGAAAATATTGCCAGAGTTGATAGATCATGACCAAACAGGATTTATTAAAAACAAACACAACGCCATAATGTGAAGCGAGCACTACAGCTGGTATGAGCCAAAAAAATTCAGTTCATTATAATCTAGATGCCAACATGTCATTGACTCAGTWTAAGAAGAGTTTCTCAGCATGGTGCTGAATTGGCTTGGATTTCAAGATGAATTCCTAACTTGTTTGCAGTCACAGTAAGATTTGACAACTGCCCATATTTAAATGAATGGATCTCTTGTCTGAGGAATTCAACTTGTCAGTGTCAGCTTTATATATAAAGCACTTTAGGATGCTTTATAAATAAAGCTGACTTTAAATAAAGTTAAAGCACTAAAGGATGTTATTTTAAAAAAAGGATGTCATCAAGGATGTATTTACTTTGTTTGCCCCATTTATGGAACCACTAGCTCAACTGATTAATAAAATGAAAAGAAAGAACTATTCTGTGAATGAATATATTTTATGACAAATGCTTTAACCAAAGATCTTGTTTGTTCTTTTACAGGGGTGTCAAACTCATTCTCACCAAGGGCCACATGAGAGTTATAGTGGCCCTCAAAGGGGCCAATTAACTTCAACATTTCATGCTTAACTTTGACTAAACACAAAACATTATCCTCGTCTCACTGCTACAGCTGAGAACTGTGAACAAACAATAACTGAGCTCTACATGGTATTTCCTGCATAGAAACAATGTTTCAACACGTCCTCCTATATACACTGAAAAGTATGGAGTTCTTTACAGTGGGATGCGAAAGTTTGGGCAGCCTTGTTAATTTTCCTGATTTACCTTTATAAATCATTGATTGTTTGGATTAAAAAAATCAGTAAAATATGTCATATAGGGAACAAACACAGTGATAGTTGAAAAGTGAAATGAAGTTGATATGATTTGCAGAAAGTGTGCAATAATTGGTTAAACAATATTAGGCGGGTGCATAAATTTGGACACCAAAAAAAACCTTAACTCAGTATTTAGTAGATCCTCCTTTCACAGAAATAACAGCCTCTAAACGGCTCCCTATAGCTTCTAATGAGAGTCTGGATTGTGGCTGAAGGTATTTTAGACAGTTCTTCTTTACAAAACATCTCTAGTTCATTCAGGTTTGATATTTTCTGAGCATGGACAGCTCTCTTTAAGTGACACCACAGATTTTCAATAATATTCAGGTCTGGGGACTGAGATGCCCATTCCAGAACGTTGTACTTGTTCCTCTGCATGAAGGCCTTAGTAGATTTTGAGCAGCGTTTAGGGTGGTTGTCTTGTTGGAAGATCCAGCCCCGGCTTCAGCAGCTTCAGCTTTGTCACTGATTCCTGGACATTGGTCTCCAGAATCTGCTGAAATTGATTGGAATCCATGCGTCCCTCAACTTTAACAAGATTCCCAGTCCCTGTACTGGCCACACAGCCCCACAGCATGATGGAACCTCCCCCACATTTTACTGTAGGTAGCAGGTGTTATTTTTGGAGTGCTGTGTTCTTTTTCCTCCATGAATAACGGCCCTTGCTCTGCCCAAATAACTCTATTTTACTTTCATCAGTCCACAGCACCTTGTTCCAAAATGAAGCTGGCTTGTCCAAATATGCTTTAGCATATCTCAAGCAGCTCTGTTTGTGATGTGGGCAGAGAAAAGCTTCCTCTCTCCCATACAGCATCTCCTTGTGTAAAGTGTGCTGAATAATTGTAAGATTGCACAGTGACTCCATCAGCAGCAAGATGATGTTGTAGGTGTTTGGTGCTGGTCTGTGGGTTGACTCTGACTGTTCTCAACATCCTTCGCTTCAGTTTATTCGAGATTTGTCTTGGTCTGCCACTTCGATCCTTGACTTGAACTGTGCCTGTGGTCCTCCATTTTCTCACAATGTTTCTCACAGTGGAGACTGAAAGCTGAAATCTCTGAGATATCTTTCTGTATCCGTCCCCTAAACTTTGTTTTCAGCTCATTTGAAAGTTGTTTTGAGACTCCCATGCTGTGACTCTTCAGAGAAGCTGCAAAGAGGAGAAAAACTTACAATTGCCTCCCTAAAATACCCTTTCTCATAATTGGAGTCGCCTGTGTATGGAGATCAAGGGTCACTGAACTTACCAAACCAAATGTAAGTTCCAATAATTAGTTCAAAAGGTTTTGAAATCAATAAAATGACAACAGTGCCCAAATTTATGCACCTGCCTAATTTTGTTGAACCAGTTATTGCACCCTTTCTTTAAATCATTAAAACTTTATTTCACTTCTCAAGTATCACTGTGATTGTCCCCTAATGATATATTTAACTATTTTTAAATCCAAACTGTTGTGGAAATATTCCACTTAAAGGCATAAACACGTGAATAAAAGAAAAGTGCACTGCGTGGTTTGGTCGTCAGATGATTTAATAAAATTGCATATATGCAGAGATTGAGTGACCACCAGACAGAGAGGAATCAGCTGCCCAGTCAAGTCGCCATTGCTCAGCCACAGACAGGAAATGCATATAAATAACTTCCAGGCGTGGTCCGTAAAAACAAATAAGAGCATGCCAAATACTAGAAAGATATTGAATGACCAATGAAACTAGTAGAAGTTACACATGCAAAATGAAATGAGCACAAGTTTGTGGACATCAGAGAATCATGAGAACAGATTATACAAATGTGGCAGTAATCAGAGAGAGAAACAGAACAGAACATGTCAAGGTAATGTGAACTTAGCAGTTAGGAGGGATTGTATAATATATTTCCACCACACAAACAATCAATGATTTATAAAGGTAGATCAGGAAAATTAACAAAGCTGCCCAAACTTTCGCACCCCACTGAAATCAGTGCAGTCCGATCTATGTGAATCTGTTCAGTTTCCTTGTTTCCAATAACCTGTAAACCATAGCAACATATTTTAATGTACGATGGCAAAGTCATCTGTCATTTTCCCACATTATCAGGAGCTTTCCTCATCCCTTACCTGATAGCGTTGGTGTTTGAGGGCCTCCCACTGCTCTACCTGGAGCTGGCAATAGGACAGAGGCTTCGCATGGGCAGCGTTGGAGTATGGAACTCCATCTCTCCACTGCTGGGTGGAGTCGGTGGGTGACCTGAAGTTATGAGTAAAGTCTTGTTAAATGGTTTTTGACAGCATCACTTTTCTTTTTTAACCCAAACCTCTTATACAAAGATAACGTGATGGTATTCACTCAGATTTATTAAAAAACTAAAGCTTGGACTGGAGCTTGGGAAACAAAAACTTCCTTTAACAAGTAGAAGTTTGAACATTTATTGAAGACAACTGTATTTTTACAGATGCTATACACTCACCGGCCACTTTATTAGGTACACCACGCTAGTAACGGGTTGGACCCCCTTT